TTCTCAGGTGGATAAGGAAATAAGAACTTTATAATCACCAGGCGCCATTGATCCCAGCACTAGGGAGGTAGAAGCAGGCGGATCTCTGAGTTCGAGACCAGCCTGGTCTACAGAGCAAGTTCCAGGACAGGCTTGATGGGGGAAATACTTTTGTGTATGTTTATCTTATTGATTGTTAAATAAAATACTGTTTGGCCAATGAGACAACAAGTAGATGGGACTAGGAGTCAAAGAGGATTCTGGGAAATGTAGTAGAGAAATGCTGATCCAGGCAGGAAGTGACATAGCAAGGAGACTCATATTTAAAGAAGGAGAAACAAGAAGGGCCCTCTTTTCCCCTCCACTTCTGCTCCAGCAGCACGATGTGATCCACCAGCCAGGAGGGACGCCAACAAGGTGTCCGATAAGTCTCATAAAATATATAGATGTATGATAATTGAGACTGAGCTAACAGATGAGAATCCTAGTCATTGGCCAAGCAGCTTTGAACCTAATACAAGTTTCTGTGTATTCTGTGTATTTGGGCCTAACTCCGGCTGGCGGCTGGCTTAAAGCTCACACGTGGAGGTGGGGCTCAGGCGGCGTTTGGTGGAAAGATTTATCGTAATACAGGCTCCAAAAGCTACACAGAGAAATCTTGTCTCAAAAAACAAAACAAAACAAAAAAAAAAAAAAAAAAAAAAAAAAACAGGGTAGAAAGTAAATTGGGTAGGCAGCCCTGGTAATGAGCACATTGGACCCCCTTGTGTGGATCCCCATAGAGCAGCCTTACTAGAGGATATGGCATTGCACTGTCTGGATCAATGACTTGATAGCAGACCACAAAATCTCAAGCTTTGGGTTTCAGACCAGTCTAACTCATGAACCTTGAGCCCGCTAGCAGAAGGCCAAGCCCTGGCGTTGAGTAAAACCAGAGACCCTAAACAGGGTTAGGCCTAGCAGAGCAGAAGCTGAGCTTGCAGTAAAATGGCAGCTAGGAGTCCAAATCCAGTCTGACCTCAGAATGACTTGTTTACTTTTATTTAACACTAAGTACTTTAACTTTGGAAGTTTTTGTGAACATAGCCCAAGCTGGCCTTGAACTTCCTATGTGGCTGAGGCTGGCCTTACTCTTCCTTCTCTACCTCCCACATGCTGGGATTTTAAGCAAGTGCCACTACACCCAACTTCCTTTTTTTTTGAAAGATTTTATTTATTATGTATACAACATTCTGCTTCCATGTATATCTGCACACCAGAAGAGGGCACCAGATCTCATTACAGATGGTTGTGAGCCACCATGTGGTTGCTGGGAATTGAACTCAGAACCTCTGGAAGAGCAGTCTTAACCTTTGAGCCATCTTGCCAGCCCCCCAACTTGCATTTTTAAATAGTTAAAAAAGTAATTTTGGAGCCAGGCTTTGGTGGCACACGCCTTTAATCCCAGCACTTGGGAGGCAGAGGCAGAGGCAGGTGGATCTCTGTGAGTTTGAGGCCAGCCTGGTCTCCAGAGCGAGTGCCAGGATAGGCTCCAAAGCTACACAGAGAAACCCTGTCTCGGGGGAAAAAAAAAATTGGACTAATCTCTTGCTATTTCGATTGTGAGTACAGTATGTGACAGACTGCTTCACACTCCTGCCACTGATTGAACTTCAACACGGATTACACCCTCAAACTGTAAGCCAAAACAAACCCACCCTTCCCAGATAACACAAATGCTTACCTGTTGGCACTGCACGTCTAGTCCTGCTCTTGTTCACTCTCTCTATTGCAGTGAAGGTGTTTGATCATAGATGGTTGAAGTAAATTGAAAGGTAATTTTTAAGTGTTTTCTCATGAGCTTTACCAGGTATCAGCACCTTTGTTCTCCCAGAAGCCCTGGAAGAACTGTTTGTTTGTTTTTTAAACACGAGGAACTAGACACAGGTCACTCAGAAAGTGGTAGTGTAGGGGTCTGACCCAGGTTGGCTGTCTCATGGGATAACCCTGAATCAGGGCATAGTGATGGTCGCCCAGAGAAGGGACATTACTTAGGAGAGCAGCAGCAGTTAAAGAAGGCTGTGGCAAGTGGAAGATGCAGACATATAGATTAGGATGGGGTAGGATGGGGTGGGGGACTTCAAGTAGAAGACATGCTGTGGGGCAGAGCCAAGAACACAAGGCTAGGAGTAACCCAGGGCTCTAAGCTCCAGTTGGACAGGACAGCTGCGGTAAAGCCACACCAGTCCCATGGGAGGATGGCACAAAAGAAACTTGGTTGTACTGCTGGGTTCCAGTCACACTGGTTTGCCTGCAGCTGATTGGAGCAAGCTGCTTAATCATTTTAGTGCTGCCTTTTTTGAGTAGCTATGAATCAATACATGTGAAGGTTCAGGCAGGTGCTTGGCACACTTAATGTGCCATTATTATTAATGGTTACTGTATGTATTTGGAACAGGGTATGACTGGAAAATGCCATAAAGGCCTGACATAGTAAAAAAAGAGAAAAAAGACCCAAAAGTGGGGACTTGTGCTTGGGGAATACCAAGTAGGAAGCAAGGGGTTGACCTGGGAAATCCGAAAGTAAGTTACATGTAGTTGGTTTGGGGGGAAGGGAGGTGGGCTGCAATGCTCAGAACAGGCTTGGATAGAAGCCATTTACTCATTCTCACAGGCAGCCAACTTTTGTACCCAACTCCTGATAATATTCTTCCACTTCACCACAACCCTCCCAGTCATTCCTGTCATGCCCACTTTATAAGCAAAGAGGCTAACTAAGGCTTGGAAAGTTGCCAGAATTGTAAAAAGTACCCCACAGCTGTATTCTGGAACTGCCACAGCCCACCTTGTTAAGTATCCAGATTCTGCTTCACTGGTGATCAAATTTCTCCACAGCTATGTTCAGTAGGGTTCCTTGGGGCATGGGATCTCCCTGAGCTTCACAGGGTAATCTGCCATAGGAGCTGAGTACAGGGCCTTAGTCTTGGCTTGTTCATGGCCCAGACTTTCCAGCAGTAGTTGGGCTAGCACTATAGTGTGCCTGAGGACAAATCTACCTTTACTTCAGTAAAGACCAGGGAAGTCTTGGGTATGGTCACAATCACTGCTGGGGAGGAGAGGGGACACAGGACACACAGTGTATTGAGTATGAAGATCCTGCTTACCTCCCAGCCTCTGTGCCTGTTTCTCACTTGCAGGTAGTGGGCCAATAGTAATAGAACCAATTTCACGGTTGTGCTGAAGACTAAGTAGAGCCTTAGCTTGTGATGGTGGTCTGCTGATGAGGAAATTGTGGTTCGGAAATGTGCTCAGTACTTTTGCAAAAGCAAAAGTTCTCTACTCTGGACAGGTGTAAAGGAAAGTAGGTCAATACCCTTCATGATCCACAGCTTTTCTGTCTGTGGCATGGAGGGCACAGGTAGTTGGGGCAGGCAGGAGCACCTGCTTGTTTTGTTGTTCACTTCCTGCCATGAGACACTGAAAGAAACTTTTATAACTGCAGTCCCCACTTGCCCAGGGCAGGGGTGATGGTGTCCAGGGCATAGAACTATGTCAGAAGGCCTCAGGCCAAACATGTCAAGTCCTTGACTCAAGGCCAGGTCTGTACTTCAACACAAGTATAATCAGGTTGCAAATTCTGTAATGGTCACAAAGCCGCATGTCTGCAAAAATCCCAGCATGCTAAGTTAGCCTTTCTTTGCCAACTCACATTTAAATTAAATGGCTAACCTCTATTCTATAGTCCACAACGCCTAGCAAGTTACCCAAGAGTTCATGTAAATGGATGACTATTTTAAAAATCTAGCCAGAAGGTTTTGATTAAAATCAGATGTGGGGGGCTGGAGAGATGGCTCAGAGGTTAAGAGCACTGGTCTCTTCCAGAGGTCCCGAGTTCAATTCCCAGCAACCACATGAGATTGAAGCTCTCTCTGGCAGGCATGCAGAAAGAGCATTCATATCTTAAAAAAACACATAAATAATTAAAAAGAAAAGCAATGTGACTACTATGAGCGTGGAACTAAGTAATTTTGTGCTTTGCCTGTCCTGCTATGATTATCTTTTCTCCTATATCACGGCTTGTTTCTTTCTTCCTGTTGAGATCAAAGACTATTTCTATTCATTTGAGATTTCTCAAGATCCTTGGAGTGTTGTAAACCTGGCAGTCCCTCTTTCTATTGATTTTTGTTCCCATTAATTCTCCTTTGTGGGGTTGAAAGAGAGCTCAGTTAGTAAAGTGCTTGCCTTGAAAACGTGAGGACCTGAATTTGAACCCCAGAACCCATGTAAAAAAATGTCAGACACAGTGGTGTGCACTTGTAATCCCAGAACTGGGAGACAGGTGGACCCCGGGGACCTGCGGGCTAGCCTGCCTCGCCTACTTGGTGAACACCAAGTCAGTGAAAAGCACTTCAGAAAACAAGGTAGGACGCTGGAGACTATCCTCTGGCCTCCCTCCCTCCACATGGGCACATACATAAAAGCACATACAGACACGGAATTCAGAATATCTTCTCTTCATACATTCACAACTCATGAACAGCAAAATAAGCTAGGTAACGTGTGTCGGGGGTAACCTCAAGAGGCTATTTAGAGCCTCCTGGTCGTGTTTCTCTCCCTGCTATGCCCCTCCACAGTCCAGCAGGTCACTGCCTTGAGTCCGTTCCCAAGTCCTAACCCTTGCCTCACACCTTCCTGGGCCGGCCGACTACCCTATCTACTAGCTGTCACTAACCCATCACCTTTTGCTGTTTTCCTCTTGCTTGTTAACCGTCTCTCCCAGTAAGTTTTGTTCATTATAGAGAGCCTGAAAACATAACCTGGTACACAAGCAGTGAAAAGGAGGATTGAATGTTTGTTGAGTAAATGAGTCCTGGAAACTTGTCTTTTGGTGGGAACATCTGCCCATCAGGCACAGTGGAACTGGTGCAATGGAGAAGAATGACATCTCTTGGGAACCACTCACTGCCCCTCCCCAACAGGAGGTACAGAGTCCAGGTCCCAAAGACACAGTTGAAAAACTAGACTCGGGGGAGCAGGCAGAGTATCGTACTAATGTTTTTAATATAGTCTGATCAGATCAATTCACATCACAAGGTCAACCTGGGCTTGCTCAAGTGTAATACAACCAAGGTACACAATGTTTCTACCTGAGGCTCTCCTACCTTCCTGGCCCCCAACACCATTAAAAACCTTGTCCTGACCAGACTGGAATTTTTTAAAATTTTGCATAAAACTATTTCTTCCATAGACTTCAAACAACTAGCCAAGTTAATTATAGTACATCTAAACAAAGTTTCATACTAACCCTAATGTGTGACTGTGGTTTACAAAAAGCTCTGTGTCACCTGGGGTAGCTTTCAGTAGCAATTCACTACAACTGGTCCTAAAAATAACAATAATAAGAATTAGAAAATCAAAACCCAACAGCAAGTTGAATGGTTAAAATCAAGTAAGAAACTGGAATTTGGGGTAGAGGTGTCCTCAGTAGATGAGCTTGTCCTGGCAGTGAAGTGTTAGCTTCCAGCAGTTCAAGAAGACCAGGGCCAATCTCAAAGGGCTCTTAGAGGACACTCATCCTATGGTCCATGGGATGCTGTAGGTTTCTGGCTTCCTTAAAAATAGTTGGCCATAAGAGGGTAGAGACCCAACTGTAATTTCTTTTGAGAATATAGGAAAGGGGGGGGGATTAAAGGAATGAAAGAAGCAGGAAGGGACCAAGACCAAGACTACCAAAGTCCAAGAATGTCTTGGAACTGAGGTTTAGGATCACCAAGAACTAAGCACCAGAAGTTCTGGATTCAGACCTAGAAGAACCAGGACTGGTGCTGGCAGAGACGCCTATGTAGTGTTTTCTGCTCTTGTCCCATACTGGGTGTCTCAAATATTTCTGCAGAGTATAGGATGAGAGTCTATCTTATCTCTAAGACCATTGGGAGGAATGGGTGATGGACAGAGAGGGGAGCAGGGTAGGGGCAGGGATGGGGGTTAAAATGAATAAAAATCTCTCAGCTACAGAACCCAAAGACATCACTTCCCTCTGCATTCACAGCGTTTCTCAGCAGTCCCCAAAGGCTGTTTGTTCTGTGGAGACACAGCATGTCTCACTTCCCTTCAGGCCCCATGGACTGCTGGTCCACCTCAGGATCCACTAAAGATGACGCAAATGCTGACTGAACAATCTGAAATCCAAAGGACTCAAGAAGAGACATGTTCTGCTGGGGAGAGAAAGGTGAGCCGAGGGCAGGGCCTAAGTCCCCCAAAGGACCCCCAAGGGCCCGGACATGCACCTTCTGGATGTGTTTGTTCAAGTAGGACTTAGAACGGAAGAAGCTCCCACATTCAGGGCATGGGTACTTCTTCTCCCCATCAGACTCCATTTTGTTTTTAGCGACTGCCATGTCGCAGGAGAAAGAGCCGTTGGCACTCTGTTTCTCTGGCGTCTTCAGGTCACTGGCATCTGAGAGGTCACCATAGGAATCAGAGCTCTCAATCAGATCCTGATGTGAGCATTTCTGGCCTTCTATGAAAAAACAAAACAGGGAAGAGATGAAGCCAGGCATTGCATGAGAGGCCAGCTCACAGGCTCTGGAGGACCAGCTTTGGCCATTAACTAACCTGGCAGAACCCATGGAGGTTTGGCTGGTCTGTCTAGGAGCCTAGAATGCCTATCGGGGCAAGATGACAGTGTCCTGGGGCCACCAGCCTCCTTCACTGTAAACTCTTCATGCAGACGTGTGTGTAGAGTTCACCAACATCTCAGCCTGCTTCGGGGAAGGAAGGCTAAGAGGGGATCCCTCCAACTTCTGCCCAGAACAACCCAGAGACCTTCCAATTCCTAGGTATTTCCAGAGATGCCTCTGGAGTAAAACTGTTCTGATTAGATGAGCAGATGTGTCAGTGGCTTGTCCCCTGCAATAGACCAATGGCTACCTTCACAAAGCAGGCAAAACTAGAACCATAAGATAGATCCTTTACTCAGCTAGCTCTTGCTGACGGCACAGACAGCTTATACAACCTTTCTACTTCTGCAAAGACCCTTCCAGGGCCATACAGCCAAAGTGCAAAGAAGAGCAGCAACTCTGAACAACTTTGTCAGCTGGGTAGCCCCATCTACACCAAGAAATGGCCTTTACTGCCCTGCCTTGCCTGGCCCACACTGGGGTCTACTACCAACTAGCAGCTTCCTGCCTGGATCCAGAGAGCCATGCCAGAATGGGAGGTCTGTGAT